ATTTCCACAGGAACTTTGTGCTCAAACACCACGTGTTTTTGGTGCGGAACTGGGAGAAAATCCGGCAGAAACAGGAGGAGGTGAAGCACGTGGGGGACTCCATGCACAGCTCGTCGCTCTACTCCCGCTGGAACGGGATCTGCCGCGACGACGGCAACATCAAATCAGGTGAGATCATCTGAACGGGGAAAATTCAGTCTGGAGTTCCTAAAAAATACAGAATTATGTTACTAAAAAATCCAGAATGGGGTCACAGCTCGTCGCTCTACTCCCGCTGGAACGGGATCTGCCGCGATGACGGCAACATCAAATCAGGTGAGATGAGCTGGATGGGGAAATCTGGAATGGGTTCCTGGAAAATTCAGCCTGGAGTTCCTAAAAAATACAGAATGATGTTCCTAAAACAATCTAGAATGGGGTTCCTACAAAATCCAGAATGCTGTTACGAAAAAATCCAGAATGGGGTTACTAAAAAATCCAGAGAGCTTCTCATGGGAATTGGGAACTGGGCGTTACAGCAGCTTAATACTAATATAGTAACAACAATAATAATAACAATAACGATAATAACAATAATAATAATAATAATAACAACAACAACAATATTACTCCAATAACCAATTGATCCATTTAAGATGAGCTGTTGAGAACTCATGGGCATTGAGAAATGGGCGTTCCAGCAGCGTAGAAACCATCTCCGTTCTCCACCTGTCGCAGCCGCTGAATTCACAGGTTCACTGACAGGATCCCATAATAAATTCCCGAATTCCTGTATTTTGAGGTGTTTTTCCCTGTCCCCCTCAGACGTGTTCATGACACAGTTCTCGGCACTGCAGACGGCGCGCTCGGTGCGCACGCGGCATTTGGCGGCGGCCGAGGAGAACCTGGAGGTGGCGCAGCTTAACACTGTTATAATAATAATAATAATAATAATAATAATAATAATAATAATAATAATAATAATAATAATAATAATAATAATTATAATAATAATAATGATGATGATAATAATAATAAATATTACTCTAATAGCCAACGGATCCATCTAAGATGAGCTGTTGAGAACTCACTGGAATTGGGATCTGGCCGTTACAGCAGCTTAATGCTAATATAACAGCAACAATAATAGTAATAATAAAAATAAAACAGTAATAATAACAATAAAAATATTACTTCAATGACTAAACTGATCCATTTAAGATGAGCTGTTGAGAACTCACTGGAATTGAGAACTGGGCATTACAGCAGCTTAGAAACCATCTCCATTCTCCACCTGTCGGATTCACAGCCAGTTCACTGATGGGATCCCATAATAAATTCCCGAATTCCTGTATTTTGAGGTGCTTTTCCTTGTCCCCTTCAGATGTGTTCATGACGCAGTTCTCGGCGCTGCAGACGGCGCGCTCGGTGCGCACGCGGCGCTTGGCGGCGGCCGAGGAGAACCTGGAGGTGGCGCGCGCCGCCCGCCTGGCGCAGATCTTCAAGGAGATTTGTGACAGCATCATCTCCTACAAAGGTGAAGGTGATTCTCAAAAACAAAAAAAAATAAAAAATAAAATAGCCATG